AACGTTGTTAGGGAAGCTTACTAGCACTATCTGAAAATGTATTTTTAAAAAAGTAAATTAATTTAGTACCGTTTTTATTTAACTCCTTACCTTGACCGTGGTGTCGTCAGGTAACCATGTGGCAAATTCTGCATAGATCTGTGGTCTCACGTCATAACAATCAGGACACTGACACTCCTGGACAGATCTATTGACACACGAGTTGTTCATGCAGCAAGGGGTGGCGCCCTTGGGGTCACATAACCCCCTGAACCAGGCGAGACCCGGAAACGACACATTTCCTACCGATAAAATCACGTGACTTTAAAAAATATCAAGGCAGTACTGTTTCATCTTGGAACAGAAACGTTCCACGCGACGTCACAGCTGCGTACAGAATGGGGCTGATTCGGTAAACTGTTAGCAACAAACTTTTTTTTTTCTTTTATTTTTTTTTTGTTTTTGTTTTTTTTTTTTTTTTTTTATTTTTTTTGTTATTTTTTTTTTTTTTTTTTTTTTTTTTTTTTTTTTTTTATTTTTTTTTTTTTTTTTTTTTTTTTTTTTTTTTTTTTTAAACATCTTGTTTTTTAAATTTTACTTTTCATTTTGTATTTCGCCCCCAGTTTTTACAAAGGAAAGAGTAGGAAGTGCTACTTCAGACAACTCTTATTTGGATGTTGTACCGTATACATACGAAGACACTTTTGAAATGACAAATATAAGTCATCTATAAAAATTACACATTCAGAGACAGAGGAAAAGGAGTTGTTTTTTTCTTTAAAGCAATCTTCAACACGTTTGAGTAATGTAAACATAACATTATACACTTTTTACGGGCCACAATTGTTAAGGCATGAAGCTTTAACACTTAAATGTTAAAATTTTCTTGGCACATGAAAATAATTACACAATTTACTTTGTACATAAAATGCATGAAATATATAATTGTAGTTGTTCTTTTGAAGATGTTTCTATCGTTATATTATTTACACAGAAATCGTAATTTGAGTTTAGAATTATGTGTTAAGCAAACTTATTCTTTCTACTATATAATTTTAGGAACAACTTATTCATATTTATATATGGAGATATTAAACACCGTTCCAGCTTAAAAAAACAAAGATTGCAATCTTTTTTTGCAAAAATACTAAAAATAACATTCTATATTTTAAAAAAAAAACAACTTTAGATGTAACATATTTCCTTACTTAAAAAAAAAAACACACTAAATAATATTATTCGTTTCAGTATTTATTTTGTGTATATAATTTGGAGTTGGACTTAAATTTTAATAATGAAAAAGCAGCAGTCTTTTAGCAAGTATATCGTGCATCTTATGAATGTCATGACATTTATAAGCAATGGACTATCAACATGTAAGAAATATGAATTAACAAATTGCAATTAGAAAAAAAGCTATACAAATGAAGACCATAACGAACAAAATTATGTTTACATTTTAAAGTGTATTAAATTTCAGTTGTTTTTTTGTTGTTTATTGTTGGTTTTTTGTTTATTTTTTAAAATTTCATTCAAATTTCGGTTGAATAAACATATGTGATCTAAAATACGTTTTTTTACAGTTTACATAAATAATTGGGGGGGGGGGTCATTTTTTTTTTTTTTGCATTTTTGTTGTTTTTTTTTTTTTTTTTTTTTTAAATTTTTTCAAATTTAATTTTTTTTTTTTTTTTTCTTTATTTTTTTTGTTGTTGGGTTTTTTTTTTTTTTTTTGCATTTGTGTTGTTGTTGTTTTTTGTTTTTGTTAAACATTTCTACAAATTAAATTCAATGTGAATTTATCAAAACATTTAAAAAAAAATTAAAGCATATTATTTTGCCTGGAAAAGTTTAAGAATATATATGAAATAAACAATGTGTGTATCATGGGTAAATAACGTATTTCTTTATTTGTATCACATCTTCCACAAATTGTTAATTACTTGTGTTCTCTAAATAATTTTTTTTTAGCATCTTTATATCAAAATGTTATGATCGTGTATAATTCGTGGGACGACATCACAAGGAACAGCCTTGAATTTTTATTTTGAAGGATATGGTTGCTTCCTAGAAAGCAAATCAGCTCTCTCCAAGAATCTTGAAAACCCAAGAGAATATCATGGGTTGATAATACCTCTTGGCACCTGACACTCCGTCTACGGGACTACATCTTCGATTTTCAATTAAAGTTTTCCTTTTATAAAATGAGTTCAATCCAATGTTACCCATGTCGTAAAAGATAGAAAAGATGTGACACCACCACCATAGTTACCATATTTGTTAATGTGAGCATCAATACACAATACATTTTAAGCCATTTCTTCAAGACAGCCTAAAATGTTGCAATTATCAATATACTTCAACATATGTCAGCTGATCCCCAAAGTGCCAATCCACATGAGACAACGAATTGTTAAGGTTATAACATTATTTTTTAACAATTCTCTACGACAACTGATTCATTTTTTAAAAGTTTTACAATACGCGTTT